CTATTATTACTATTATTATTATCCAACCTCGCATAAAGTGGTGCCAACCGCACTATAATTCTGTATTCAACCAAAAACGAATTCATTAAAAAAGTGCCCAAGAAAACAAATCGCAAAGGGTAACGAAACGTAGCAATGAAACCGATCACAATCACTTGGGGAATGCGCGGCAGTGTCGGTCAGCGCGTGCGTCACCGCCCGTCAGGTCAGCGGCCGCCGGGTGCCGGGCGCGGTCGTGTTCGGATCGCATGCCTAACGAGCGTGCCCAGCGAGGCGGCCGGCGGCGCGTCCCGCCGTGCCGCACAGTGCGTAATTTGGGCAATTAAGCGCTAGAAATTCAAAATTTCAACTCAACCAAAACGGGTAACGTGCTTTGTACTTCGAGTCTAGGAAGTCCAGAGCACTTTGGAAAGGTAGTAGATTTCATAAGTGTTGTCAGACACAGCAGATGAGAGTGTCTAAACATGCTACAACTTGACTCGGTTCGTCGATGCTCTGATTCATACGTTTCAGTACAGCGAGTTGGCTTGATCGGTGTGCATCTATACTTACATTGAAGGTTTCGTACATTAGCTAAATGTAATCTGTGTTCCTTTTCCTAAGTATTGTGACTATTATTATTAGTTAATGAGCATCTGACGACTTTAAGAAGCCTCTTTAAAAGGTTACTAAATTTTATTCAGCGGAAGATTCATTTTGAAAGTCTATCGAAGGTTTTAGTTTAGAATACCCCCAAATTGTCTCCAGGGTAGTGACTCTACCCTGAGGAAGCCAGCGATATGACAGACGAAACGTCCGCCTCTCTGCCAACGACGCGGCGTCACCCGGACAGCCTAGAAGTCATGTTCTATCTTCCTTAAATATCATAAACTGAAGGATTCATCCTTCCATTTCGTAATACAAATCGACTTCATTAAAGTTCGAACTAAATAAACGGTCTCCTTTACCAACACTGCTCGTGTTCCTTTACGACCCGTCCGTCCCCCCTGCCGTCGCCAACATTCCCACTCCCCCCTGCCGGCGCGTCCAACGCCTCTGCCAGGAGCTGCGCCGGGAGATGAGTCGGAACCCCGAGGGACCCGCCCCCTCATCGCCTGCGAGGCGGTGGGGGGGGGGGAGGAAGATGACGAGGGCGATGAGGACGGCCGAGCGAGTGACCCTATGTTGCCTCGATATGCAGCGACGTCAGGGACGGTGCGTGAGAAAATGAAGGCCTGCCGCAAATTTCTTGAAGTTGTGAAAGAAACAATAAAACACGAGTCTTCTGGATGCAATCAGAGTCTTGCAGTAGGTATGAAAATAGTAGCGTTAGGAGATCGTGATGGAATCTTTCGTGTAGGGAAGGGAAAGATCGTGTGAATTTAATTGATTCTGTTTGAAGGTATACACGAGTACCACACACCTCTTTCAAATATTTTCTCGCTAAGAATATCTAATCTACATGAAGGGTGGCATACAATGTCCGTTTCCTTAAGTTATCTAGTACGAGGAATTCATTACGCATTTCATGAGGAAACTTCATCTTTTTGAGGCATACGTAATAATAATAATGATAATAATAATGATAATAATAATAATAATAATAATAATAATAATAATAATAATAATAATAATTGTTCAATATTCAGATTTACTTTAAGAAGAAATTATATGTTAAAAATAAGAATACCATAAATGAACAGATGAAAATTACTTTTGTATGTGTAATGTGTGTATGAATGTTACTTATGCCGTTTGTCATCTGCTTTCGATGTTTAATAAATAGGTTGAAGAACTACTGGCTTCTTAACGGCCGGCAGCAGTTAATTTTGTTAAAAGCCATCGGCCATTAAGATTACCGTTTATTCGTCTGTGGCGTTATGCAGACATATTAACGGGCAGTATTACGAAAAGGCTTTATAAGTGTTTTGGAATTTATCTCTTATGTCCAAGACATGAGTACTTGAGAGGATTATTTCAGGAATAAAAGTTAATATATTATAGTAGGAAAAATCGTAATACCATCAAGACACATTTATATTAAACTAAACATCAACTTTCATGTAATATGTACTAAAACACGATTATGTCGCAATAATAAAACATTGCTGAAAAAGTTGTGCGGGTTAACGTCATTTATTGTTCGAGAGATTTGGAATTATTGATGAGGGAAATAATCTGTTTTATTTCTTTTTGGTAAATGTCATTACTATAAGATGTACTTTACTTAGTTAGATTTCGACAAAAACATGGCATGAATCTCATGGATTTTAAAAAGCGTAAAAATTCTGAGTCTAAAGGGGGAAATTAAATTGTTAAATATTAACGCAAAGTAAGCGATGCAAAACAATCGTGATGGCATATATGGAATTTTGAGATTTGTAATGAAACTTAATAGATAGAAACTGTAATTCAGCTTTAAACGAAATATTCTAATGATTCATCAGAATAAAAGTGACTTCAACATTTCTCCACGCTTCCGGAGGGCAGATCTGCGGAAGCACGTGCCATTTGAAATGACATCTACAATGACAGGTGGCGAATAGAATGAATATTCGATTTGAGTTGTATGGGATTAACGGAATGCATACCTGTCACGGTAGCATAAATCAATTATTGCAAACAGAGCTTGTCGACAAGTCACATGACGTGTCAATGAGAAATCCCGGGGGGTTTCCAATTACTTACTCGTTGACCTTAGAGAACTTCCCAATCTTTTATTAATTACGTAATTTACATTTTGGGAAATGCTCATAAAATTGTATTCTGATTCTAAAACCTCTTTGCCTTCTCTCACATTTTTTGTTCGGTTTAATACTAAAAATATTCGGGCCACAATGATAAATAGTTTCAATAGCAGGACGTATTTAATGTGAGTCAGCACTTCGAAGCTACATGTTTCATTTTGTATGCAAAACACGCAGATATTTTCTAGACTTTCATGTTCATTAAAAGTACAACGGTCGAATCTACATTTTTTCATGGTTGTCATTGTGATACAAACATGATTACAAACTCGATACAGAAGAGATGGAGT